GCAAAATGCATGATTGGGCAACAGAAGACTTACTGTATAGGTGAAGCAGGCTGCCCAGGGAGCCACTGGCTGAAGGAAGACCTACAGAGTTTTTGTAAATAATACTTCTAAATGTGGACAAGTAAAACTGTGGAGTCACAAATATAGGAACAGCAGTCAGCGGTTTTCATTAATCCTATGACACAAGCATCATTTAGCAAAATAAGATAGGTTACATTTGGTTTCAGTAATGCTTGTTTGTATTTATTTTAACAACTTCTTGTCAGTGAAACGCCTTTACATTGGTGTTGTTGGTGAGAATTATACTTTTTTTTTTAACCTTAACACGGTTTGGCTTATAAGGACAGTTTTAAAAAAGTATCAAAGTCGATGCAGCAGAACCAGAGATATTGTCCTTTTTCTTACCTGGCACAACCCTTACCCACAATGCAACTCAAACGCTAACAGCTTAGTTAAATAGTCCAGTGTGTTATGCTAGTAGCAGCTAATGTAGCCTCAACCCTCTACTTCAAGTAGAGATCACAGGGCGAGTTACAGAGGTCTAGTGTGCTCACAATGCTCAAACTCCATACCCACAATTTAGAAATAGTGTGTAAAGGTACTCACATACATGCTGTTGTTTGAAGCCTTGACACAAACCAGAAGTTGAATAAAGTTGATTTAAACTAAAATAACATTAAGTATAAGGGGGGAAAAAGCTATTGTTGTTGAATCAATTCTCACTCCCTCATGCCCAAGTACTTCTTTCCATCCATGATGTCACTCAGGTTTTTGTTCCTCCCTAATTGCTAATTTGCTTCTCCTCATATCAGCTCATTATCCACCTGGAAGGAAGAAAAACAGATCACCAGGTCTGAAGGGCCAGAACAGGGTGCCTATCTTGCACCAAAGCGTTAAGGTGGGCGTCTGTAAGGTCCCCCAAAGTATAGCAGCACCGATAAAGTATATGTGTGGCATACCCGTTTTGCTTCTCTGCATCAGTACCTTCCATGAACTCCACTTTCTCCACACTTTCTAAATGACTGTTTGTGCATTGGCTTCTCCTTTTCACTGCCCCTGTCCCTCAGAAACTCATACTCTTTTTTGCAAACACAGTACGCAGTGTGAGGTGTGTCCGTGCAGCAGAGGCTGAGAGCTCCAAGAGGCCATGAGTCATAGAGAATGAATTCTGCCCTCCCGCAGCTAGCATCTGACTGAACAATGACTGCTGCCTCCTTGCTTAGCTAACCACCACGCTCTCTGACTTCACTGCCTTTACAAGGCTAACACTTTATGGCTGGTCTGCCCTCCTGCCTGCCGGAGAGACTTTAATGAAAAGAGAAAACCTCATGAGGCTCTCTGATCGACCAGAGAAAACGATTCGTTTTAGAAGCGGCTTTGCTATTAAAGTCAAGCTGACATCACTGTGGTTGTATGTTATCATGAGCGGAGGGATTGTGTTGTGGTGTGAATGCTGGTGACACAAGATGATACTGAGGTCACACATACATACAATCACTACACACACACACACAAACACACATATATAATGGAGTCACAGAGGGTAGTGATGTTGAATTTGCTGTTCCTCCAGGCACAGTGACACAGTTCAGCAGCAACTGCATTAGCAGCAGCTTTCGACACCAGTCTGTTACACATCTGGGCCTCCTCCATACACACACACTTGTGAAACTATGCTCACACACTCCTGGCATATGTGTGGGTTAAGAGGAAAAGGAGGAAACCAAAGGCATGAAAGGCCCTGAGCCCAGTCTAAATATAAGCCAGGCAGGGTTTGCCAAAAGCAGTGCTTTTTCCCCCTTTATTTTGTCTGTTCTAAATTAAAGCCTGGCTACAGAGCTGCTGCTGGGGCTGCTGCTGGTGCAGAGGCTTAGGCTGCGCTTTCTCCCAGGGGGCCCACAGACACACACACGGGCTCTTTGAAAACAGCAGTTGCGTGTGCACACATTCCCACACAGAAACACAGTCTTTTCTTATATAGGTTAGACTGCTTTAAGCATCATTAAGTAGATGATTGGATTTCAATGAGAAGTGCACCTGGTATGGCTGCATTATAGGTAGTCAGCAGATATAAAGACAAGACAAGGCCCAATATGACCTTAAAATATTAAACCATACATCTCTAATTTCAAGAAACCAACTGGAGACCTATATAATATTCAGCTGGGGGTAAGTAAAATGATGATTCCCACTATTGCTTGATGCACAGCACTTAGAGTAGCAGGCTCTCAATCCCACCCTCAGTATAATATAAGAGTAAAATGCCCACTGTGGGAATAAGGCTTATCAAGACTGGGAACATGGAAGAAAGGCTATGTGAATGATGGAGAAAACTGAAGCCTAGTTGTTCCCTTTAGCATGGCAGCAGGCCCAGTCCCAGCAGACCAAACTGTGTTGTGTGGTGCTTCGTCCTGTGTCCTTCTGTCTGCTTGACAGAGGAGGAAAGAGACATGACTGTGGGCATCTGTCTCGCTCCACCTGCCACCATGATACTTGATGCCATTTGTGCAAAAGAATCTCGATTAAGGTCTCTCTTTTCTTTTTCTCCCTTTTTCCACCTGGCTTTCTCTTTTCTTTTTTTTCTGCCTCCATTTTTAATCTGAGTCTCTCCTTTTGTGTCTGTCTGCCCTCAGGCCTTGGCCATTAGGTGTAATCAGGGGTATAAATTTTTAAAGAGCCCATGCTGATGTTGTAGCTATGGTAGATGGTCTTAACAACAGGAGGCTACACATGCATAAAATGGGCATATGACACGCACAAAGGAAGACAGCCATGCTATCTTTCAGTAAAAGACATCTTTAGTAAACCTTTCTCTCTCCATACACACATACACATAGATGCTGACGCTCCAGTCAAATGATGCAAAGACCAAATAGGCATCACAAGGTTCCCAGGATATCTCAAAGGGTATCAGAACACTGTGCTTGTGTGTAAGTTAAAAATGTGCTTGACAGAGAATCAAAGCCACATAAAATATATTTTGGACAGGAAAGCATTACGCATTTTGTATTCTTCATTGATTTTACCATACTTAGAGTATGGCGTTGAAAACTGGGGAAATACATACAAAAGCTCACTTCAACCATTGTATATATTACAAAAAAGAGCGATAAGAATTGTGCATAAGATGGGGTATAGGGATCACACCAATGGAGCTTTCATACAGTCTAAATTGTTAAAATGTTTTGATTTAGTGGGATATAAGACTGCTGTGTTTATGTATAAAGCCAGGAACAATTTATTACCTGGTGGAATTCAAAAACTATTTAATGAAAGGGAAGGGGGATACAATTTAAGGGGTCAATTAAATTTAAAAATTCATGCTATACGTACAACCAAAAAAAGATTCTGTATTTCCATAAGTGGGGTAAAACTATGGAATAATTTAAGTGTAGACATAAAAAATAGTAATAGAATTGACAAGTTTAAACATAAATATAAAGGTACTTGTGTGGTGTAGAAGATAATTATCTATGTAGAGATACTGCTTGCAAACCAATGATGGTAAGATGATGTCATGGGGTAGGACTGGATAAGTCTGACTTCTTCCTACTCCATTCAAGCATGTACTAGGTATAAGCAAACTGATATTGGATTAGCATTTGTTAGATATGTGTAAAATTATGTGTGTTGACATATCAAATGTCTTTACATGCTTGAAAGAATAAATAAATCAAATCAAATCAAATCAAATCAAAAGCCAGTTGGAGTTTTAACACTCAGCTTATCGCTTAGGTCACAGTGCCCCCTGTTGGCAGTGGCATTCAATTACGTGAGCACAAACTGCATGTCGACCCCAGTGGCCCAATGGATAAGGCACTGGCCTCCGAAGCCAGGGATTGTGGGTTTGAGTCCCATCTGGGGTAGAATTTTCCTTTCAAACCTTTGTTGCTATTCTGTGCAGACAGTACAAAGACAGCTCTTAATGTGGGATGATGCATTCTTCAAATCTGTGAAATGAAGCAGTATTGTCAGGGTTTTTGCTTTGCCCTCAGTTAACAGCTCCTGTTGTTCAGGTTTATACCTGACATGAGTTGGTATAAGTGGTTCATTTAGGAACAAGATTCATGAGGTTGTGATCCATGGTGCAGATTCTTTATCCCCATTCACCCCTTTGTTCCAGGGAGCTTAAAACTCTAGTACTAGCCTACTGTTATTAAAAGTAAAATTAGCCAGATTAGTTATTAGCAGTTCTTGTTTCCAATGTGTCTGTGAATGTAGAGGTAACTATTACTAGATGGGTTTGATACAGAATAAAGCTTAACTATATGATGATTCTTGAAGAAGCTCCGGGATTATAAGGGATGTTTTTTCTGATTTGTTTGTCATGTCTGTGTTCAGATTTGACTTGTTTTTTTTATGTGAATTGTGTCATTTGGGATATAGTACCTTAATTGCCTCAGTAAGGTGTGTGTCAAAAAAAACTTAGCTCTGTTCTGAAAGCAGAATGCAAACATAACCCTCTGTGTGTCTGTCTACCCTGTAGAATTCTGGACTTTCGCCGCGTCCCCCCTGTGGCTGGCAGACTGGTCAACATGACAAAGGAGATCCGAGACGTCACACGAGACAAAAAGCTCTGGAGGACCTTCTTCATTTCACCAGGTACACAATGAAAGAGGGAAGAGATATTGGTTTTCAGTGACACATTTAGAAGGGTAAAACTTTACCCACGATGCCCTGACATTGGTGTTACTTCACTCCCAGAACTGATAAAAAATGCTGCACAAATTTTACTTCTTTTTCTAGTTTGTCATGTATAGCACAAAACTGTGGGAAACACGTTCAACAACCAACAATCAGATTTCATTGAACAATAACATGCCCTCAGTATAGCCCTCAACGTGCACAAGTGAACAGCCTCCTTGCTTATAATGTAGAGCAATGCTAGTCCTGTGCCCTGATTTACTGGGATATTCATTTGCATGAGATTATCAGGAGACTATATCTTGTGCCAAAGCAGGACAGTTCATAAGCTATGCAACCTTTTATTCTACATAATACATAGAAAATTCCAGAATCTCAGCAATTACAAGTCATTGTAATTTAAGGTAATTTTGTTTGGTAAAGTTGGGTTTTAAAAATGTGGTGTACATTTCAAATAGAAAGAACTGTAGTCACATTTAAGTTTAACACTTAATAGCATAATAGAATATGTAAATATAACTGCTGTCATTAAGAATGGTTAAACCAAACAGCCTCAAGGTGTTTTTTTGCCATTCTCAGCCAACAACGTTTGTTTCTACGGAGAGTGTTCGTACTACTGCTCCACCGAGCATGCTCTGTGCGGTAAACCAGACCAGATAGAAGGATCTCTGGCTGCCTTCCTCCCAGACATGGCTCTCGCCAAACGCAAGACCTGGAGGAACCCGTGGAGACGTTCCTACCACAAACGCAAGAAGGCAGAGTAAGAGATCGATCCTGCACCGAGACAGTGCTGCATTCATTACATGAAGCAGACTCTGAGGGATTCGATGTAGAGCCAAGTCCTGTAGGTCCAGCTATCAGAAGATATTTATTACTATCAGTTACCAGTGACTCATGAGAACTGAGTAAGAGATGTGTACTTAAGATGTTTAGTTCACCATGTGTCAAAGCTGACTGTGTCAGGGCAGTATGGAAACTACACCGCTAAAATGTAAGTGAACCCAGTATCAGATTGTAGGCAAGAGTCTTTATTTACAATGATGAGCTGGAGAGGGAGGAATGCAGGTAGTTGTGTAGCTCTGACAAGGCATGGTGACAGGAAACTGTCAGTGAAGACAGAAAACACTTCCTCCTCCACAGGCAGGAGTCCAGGTTTCATAGCAGAGAGTGTTCAGCAATCCAGAGGTGCAGACACTATGACTCACAGTATTACAGAGGCAAGGCAGCAGAGAAGTCAAGAGTCCCATCCAAAGGCCTGATATGGTCTTTCAGAGGCAAGGCAGAGATGTAGTCAGAATCCAATTCTGAAGGTCTGGTGTTAGTCAGTCTTTGCCGGGGTGATGTAGAGGCATAGTCAAGGTAAAACTCCAAAGTTTTCCTTTCCAGTTACACAAAGGCACAAGAGAAAGCTGGTACAGAATGGCTGAAAAGTCAAGCACACAATCAGGACAGTCTGGCAACTTCTTTGAGGAAAGAAGCTGCTTATAAAAGGGTATGCACAGGTGTTGTCAACTGGTGCAGGTGAGGATAATTGGTGTAATAAAGGTAAAGTAACTGGGAGTGAGGGTAGGGTGGAACAGGAAGTGTCAGGTAAAAATAAAAGCCAGTTACCAGAAGTGGAGCTGGAGTTCATGACAGACTGACATCCAAGTATAACAAACTGTATGTGCATTTTCATGCAAAAAGAATCTTGTTATGATAAAAGAAAACACTTACACCACTTTGTTTCCCAAAATCACCTCAGCACAAGAATAAACAAGAACAAATGTTCAAATGGGTGACTAACTGGATTTTGGCAATGTTTTTGCAAAATAGATGCATTAATTCTGGTAGACTAAAGATGTAAACTAGATGTTTGTGTGGTATTTTAACCTCTCCAGGTGGGAGGTGGATCCCGACTACTGCGAGGAGGTTAAACAGACTCCACCTTACGACAGCGGGACACGGCTGCTGGACATCATGGACATGACCATCTTTGACTTCCTCATGGGTGAGCTGTCTCATATTGTTTAAGAAGTGGATTTCCTTTAATACCAAATAAGTGGTTACATTTTTTGAACCTCTTATTCCACTCTATAATGCATCAATAATTATAATCCAATAATAGAATATACATTAATATGAACTGTACTATTCTGCAATAATGAGTACATTTACTTTTGGTTCTTTAAGTACATTTTGAAGTTATTACTTTTACTTAAGTAACATTATGAGTGCAGGGCTTTTACTCGCAATACAGAGTATTTTTACTGTGGTATTGATACTTTTAATCAAGTAAACAATCTGAGTACTTCTTCCACCACTGTTCAAACACAGGGAACATGGATCGCCACCATTATGAGACGTTCGAAAAGTTTGGAAATGAGACCTTCATCATACATTTGGACAATGGCCGGGGGTAAGCTGCTAGCCGGTCCTTGTCATCCATAATAATAAAAGAAAATGAGACAATGTCCAAAAATCTAGTTAACTAATGAAGTATTTTGTGATTGACATGCATTTTGGATGACTTTACAATCAAATAAAAACTCACTGGCTGTATTGGCAGAGTTCAGCATTAACCTTTAATGCATCACATGTATAACACATAAAATAAATTTGTTCATAATGAGCTTCTGTACAGTGCCTAATACTTAGCATTTTGATATGTTAGTGGAGTTTGTACTATACAATAGCTGATATATACATAAACCGGACGCCTGTAGCGATTGTCTTTAAATCATATCAGGTATTACAAGAACATGTTTTTCAGGAATAGCTCATTAAATTGCAAATGTATGCGAATTTTTATGAAAATGCCAGAAACTGCATAAAATTATGCATGTATAAATACACAAACATTTCTGATTTACAGGTGAGCAACAAAAGGCACAGAAAAAAATAGTGTGTATTGTGTAAAAATAAAGTGTGCGAGATAACAGAGGTGTATAAGCTGCTGCACAGCAATCACATTAATCAAAAACTTGACACAATAAAAATTACAGACAAACAGCAGGTTGCCCGACAGCAAAGGGAAAATTAAATACCAGTCAGTCGTCACAATTCACCCAAATTATGCTTCTGTTTTTTTTTTTTCTTTTGCTGTAGCTTTGGAAAGCACTCTCATGACGAGATGTCCATTCTGGTGCCGCTGACCCAGTGCTGCAGGTGAGGTTCTCTGTACTGAAGTCTTTGTTTAGCTTGGTAAGAAAAAAAGAAGATAAAGATAGAAATCTGTATGAGGCTACTAAATTGCATAATCATCCCAGTAGGATTTATTTTATTCACTGTTTTGCTTGGTGCTATAGTTACTCTTCCTCCCTTGGCTGCTTTCGTTCTGCAGGGTAAGGAAGTCGACCCACTTGCGTCTGCTGCTGCTGGCTAAGGAAGAATACAAGCTGTCGATGCTCATGGCAGAATCCCTGGTGAGGGACCGCCTCAGTCCCATCCTCATCCAGCCACACCTGGAAGCCATGGACCGACGACTACGGCAGGTCTGTGCTTAATACTCATTTAATGCCTGCGCAGTGTTTTGCCTTCTATCATTTTATTTGAATTATTAAAGTAGAGCTTAAAAAATGAGTAGATTAACTGATTAGCTGATCTGCAGCCATTTGTAGTTTTATGGAAAAGTGCCAGAAAGTCACTAGGTCACTGGTTATGAATATTTTCCTCTATGACGATAAATTACACGTCTTTGGATTTTGACTCTTAGTTGTGCAAAACATGAAATCTGAAACCCTGGGAATTTGTAAATAAACAATTGTCACAGTTTTCTGATATTTTAAAGACCAAAATGATGGATGATTGATTAAGCTGATCTTATTTGACCTTCATTTTCATAATAAATAATACCTTTCCTCTACCTTAAACCTCTTGTATTGTAAAATGTCATCACCTCTAGGTGCTGAATGTGCTGTCAGAATGCATTGAAAAGGAGGGTTACAGTTACGTAGTGGAGGACGACCTCCAGGGGGATCAAGGGACAGACCACACTCACACAGGCCCACGACGGAGGTAGCTATCTGGGGTTGCTGGCAGCTTGATAGGACGAAATCTCTGGAGAGAGGAGACTGGACCAGATTCAGTCTCTCTCTCTTAAAACTGAACTGTCATCCTGTAACAGATGAGCTCCATCTGTACTGAATTTCTCAGAGGGCTTGATTTTTTTGCTGAACTTACAGTGAAGCCCACCTGCCTGAGATAGATATAAGCTGTCTGGAAGTGGAAGCCTGCTGGATAGGACTGGACTTTGATAAACAGTGCAATGACTGTATCTGTACTGAAGACTTCACGACAGATCTGGGCGCACCCTGCATCACCTAGACTCCTTAAAATATCCAACCCTGACTCTAGTGTAGGATAGCTTCACCACAGCTTACCACACCAACCCACCGCAGCACTACCAAACTATGAAAGTCTTGCAAGAGACTCCTTCTCTCCGTCTTGTTCAGGACCCTTTTTTGAATTCAGTGAATTCTGAGGGACTTGTAAAGCTCTCCCCACCTTTCCCTTCCTTATCTCCACAAGCTGAATTATGTGTTTCTACGTATTGTTGGTATTGCAGATGTTCCAGCTGAACCTTCACAGTGGAGAAGGAGGTGAAAGTTTACTTCCTGTTGTCTTATCAAAATAACATTTTGAGTTCTGCTGGAAAAATGTTTTATTGCAAAGAG